GGCAAGGCACAGAAGAGGGTTCGGAAGTCCGGAGGCAGGGCTCGCAGCCAGGACTCTGCAACTTCTGAACGAGCACGATATGCAAAATCACCGAGTGCTCAACTGGTGACGTCTGAGTCTTACGGTCGGTCAAAAATGGGGTGTCTACACCAGTACTTGTACAAAGTTTACAGAGCGCTCGAGTGGGGGAATTCACGCTCGATCGTCCCATCACATGTTTGTATGTCCGCTCAAGCGAGAGAAATTAGGCTCAAGTGGGGACCCCTATTTCCAGCATTTTGACCAAGTGTTTTCAAGTGCATTTTAGCATCCTCATTACATCTTAGGCATTCCTAGGCCAATATTAAGACACCATAATGAGGATAAGAAGTAGAAACACACCAAGAGAAGAAAAAATTAAGTTAATGTTTCCAGGTGTGTAATTCTGTACGTGTTCGTTTTGTAACTGTGTAGGTCATACGGCACAAGACGTCTGATTTGCCCATTCTGTCTGTTTGCCTTGAAGCCATCTATTAATTGTGAGTAATAACTTTGTAAAGCTATGTTTACTTATAAGTATTTTCTGACTGATGTGATATGATCTGTTCTCTAAAATGCTATTTTATGAATTATGAATAAATGTTTATTTTTTTTAAATTAAAATGCCCAAAAATGAAAGCATAATGGGCTGCCAAAGCATGCAAAAAAATGACATTCAAGGAAGATATTGAAGCAAGTGCAACATGGGGGGCTCAAACAGGGTTGAGCCCTTAATAAAACATGAAAATGAGCTCAAAAAAATGACCTTTTCAGTTTTGGTCGGAGCTCAAATATACAAGAAAGAGAGGCTAAGAAATGTTGTAAAAATGAGCTAGAAAAGAGGGAAAGTGAACTTACCCTTGAAGACTTGACTTTGGTTGCCTCTTGGCTTGAGTTTGTGGCTCCTTAGGCCTTGGAGAACACCTTCAATCTTCTGGAATGGAGGATGGAAGGGTGGGGGGTGGTGGTGTAGAAGGAATGGTGGTGTAGGACTTGGAAGTTTTTCAAGGAAATGAGAGAGATGAAGAGGGATTCTTGTATTCAAGCTTGAATAGCAAATTTTCTAACCCCTATCACCAATGCCACCTGCTGGTTATATGGACAAAAAAGAGGGAGCAAAGGGAGGCAAAAGGTGGGAGAAAAGTAGGCAAGTTTTCCCTCACAAAATATCCCCCGGATTGGGATATTTTCTGGGGGAAACAGCTATACAGCTGTAAAGTGCAAATTGAGAGGATCATGGCCGGCCAGTTTAAAAGGGAGAAAAAGGTCAACCACCAGATAAGTGGCCGGCCGGCTAGGTCAAAGGGAAAAAAGTGGCCGGCCACCCCCTAGGATGAAGCCCCAGAAATTAGCTTTCCAATGGCGCAAACCTTGCATTAAAATTCCTCCTGTAGAAAAAGTTATGCCATTTTCCGTGAAGCCGCGCAGATTCGGTCCAACCAGACTTCAACCAACCACATCTCCCCCCCCCGGACTTGGACTTGGGAGATTCTTGAGTTCAAAGTGAAGCCCCGGAAGTAAGCTTTCCAATGGTGGTGGCCTCATATCTTAATTCCTCTTGTGCAAAGAGTTACGCCCATTTCGGTGAAGCCGCGCAGATTTTTCTCCTTCCCGGATTCATGCTGAACCACTTTTGACCAAAAGGAAGTTGGCTTTTCAGCGAAATTGCTGGCCTCCCACCCTCCTAAAAGCTTTCTAACAGTGAAAATAAGGTCTCCACCAAAAATGAGCCCAAACCGATGCAAAATGAAGGTTCGGGGGCCGAAACGCGCAGCCCGAGGCCCGGAAAACTGGCTGTTAGGCACCGGGAGTGGTGTTTGACCACGAAGTGGGTCTCTCAGACCTCAGTGTCCCTCAAAAGAGAGTAAATAAGATGCATGCCAAAATTTAGAGCAAACGGAGATGGTTAAGCGGTCCCGAACCGAGGCACACGGCCTGGCGGCTCCGAAAACCGGGAACCGGGCTCCGAAATGGGAAAAATGGCCTACGGCCACCAAATGTAGCCCACGGCCACTGAGAGATGGTCTACGAGACCTCTCCCTCCCCTCGGGAAAAAAAAATAGAGAAAACCGAGTCTAGTTCGCAAACCGAGGCAAGGCACAAAAGAGGGTTCGGAAGTCCAGAGGCAGGGCTCACGGCCGCGACTCTGAAACTTCTGAACGAGCACATTATGCAACGTCACCGAGCGCTCAATCGGTGATGTCTGAGTCTTAAGGTCGGTCAAAAATGGGGTGTCTACACTAGGGTACTTGAATTGGCTGTTTTCATAACATTCTTTGAGTTCATCTTAAAAGCCCTTCTGTAAAAAATCTGCTTCCAATTTGCTGTCTATAAGGTTTGTCAAAAGTACATGAATGGAATTGTTATTCTATTGCTTATATAATTCAAAATGAATCGAGTAATGTTCATGATGGTATTCAAAAAAAAAAAATGTCTCGCTCAATGCATTTTAAAGTAAAGTCTACTCAACAATTACATTGAAGAAATTTGTCGTCATCGTGATTTACTAATTTTTACAGTATCACAATCTTAAATGACCATCATGTTTACAAATGCTAGGAAACTTAGAATTTAGTCATCTTTTATTTCATAGTATTGAACCTTGAAAAGAAAAATACACCATAATACTATATGAGGCTTAGTCTTTACCTTGAACACCATAAATTCTATATTGAAATTTTAGGACTGAAGTTTTCACACATTTTAATTTGGACAAAGAAAAGGAAATTTTGAATAAAAATTGAAAATTATAAGCCACCTTTGTCTCTCTGTTTCATTCTTATTATCAGTTTTCAAATGTCCAATTTTGTGACCTTTTCTTTTACTATTATGGCTATTTCTCTGATTTGGAAAGTAGTTGATAGATGGTGCTCTTCTTTATTAATGAGATCATTTCATAACCTGTCATATGACATATGTGATTCAAAATACTCAAAAAATTTAGCTGAAAGGACTTCTGAAAGACAGGAAAGTGGAAACACTAGTCTAGTCGATGCAGATATGGAGGGAAACTGTGTCGAAGATGAGGTGGAGCAACTTATCCAGGTGGCTCTGTTCTTCACGTTGAGCTCCCCAATGGAACGTCCCAAGATATCGGAAGTTGTTAGAATGCTCGAAGGCGATGGGTTGGTGGAGAGGTGAGAAGAGTGGCAAAAGGAGGAGATGTTCCGACAAGAGTTCGTCAATATCCACCACCAAAATAACGATTGGATCATTGCCCAAGTTAACAACCTTCCCGACTCCGCTCCCAACCTCCGTCCAGAAGAATTGTCGAATCCCAGATGATCTTTTAAATGGATTTTGTTTTCCGCATACAGAAAAGTCTCTTGGAGTCCCACTCTTTATTCAAATGTGATATAGACCATCTGTGTATATGATTTCTCCTCTTTATCTTCTTCTTCTTTTTTTCTTAGCTCGGTTTATATGACGATGATTATGAATTGTTAAGTATGAGCAAAAATATGACTGGAAAGGCTATGTAATGTGTCGAATTAGTATATATTTTATACCCCAATAAATACATTTTGTTTTGAGTTTGAAATTATAACACTTGAGCATTTGTGATTACTGATTATAGATTATAGCTTTGTTAAGCATTTGGGATCTCCAAATATAGCTTGTAAGATGGAAAGCAAAGGGATATCTCTAAAATTTGATGTACTTCTTCAAGTGTGGGACACATCTCATGTTTGCCAAATCTAAGAATACAAATGAGATTAAAAACGCTCTACCGAGGCTCTATGGAATTTACCAATGGAACAATTTTTGAAGAAGAGAGGGGTCAATACCAAGAAAAAAAAGATTTGAAAAAAAAATGGATATGCACTTAAAAGATGTAGCCATTGTTGCAAAAAGGGCATTTCATCTCTCTCCCCTCTCTCTCTCTCTTTTTGACAAAATAATACACTTCATCCACCTGGTGTCTAAATTTTTTAACAGTATAACTAATACGGGATTCTCCATGCCCAAATTCTTTTAAGCACATTTGCTATGATAGAATGAGTTGAAATAAAATGTTCATTTTAATTTTGTATTTTTTCTCTCTTGTTTTGGTATGCCTTATTTAAATAGAATAATTTAAATGACTATTTTAACAAAATGTGATAGTACCTATTTCTTCCACCAACTCATTTATTTTTCTTTTGAACAGTTACATTCAAAAAATAAGTACACATTTTTTATCTTTTTATTTTTTTGAGACATATCAATCAACATTTCCGCTTTATTTTTTTACAAATCTTTTTATAAAAAATTAAAAAATTCACTTATTTACAACACCCCCAAACCACCGTTTAAATTTGGCAAGACAAGGGCTACGGTTAAGCTCCAGCTTTCTTCCCCCCAATATGTAAGATCAGATGCAAGGAAGTTCGTTCCTTGAATTCAAGAAATAAAAATAAAGAAAACAACTAGTACAATTTTTTACTAGGAAAATACCAGTCAAGGAGTAGAGTAGAGAACAGAGATTGAGAGAGACACGGTGAGAGATTGTGAAAGAGAGAGGCTTTGACTAAAACCCCTCCATAAACGGCTCTCTCTCTACACCCCTTCCCCACGGACCGTTGACTTCAATTTCTCTCTCTCTCTCTCTCTCTCTCTCTCTCTCCGGCATTCTCTCAGAATTTTCCCTTGAAAGTGTAAGAAAATTTCCTTAACTACCTTCAGCGTCAAAGTCAGCTCCAAACAGTTACCCTCCGGTGAGCTCCGGCGACGACTTACCCTTCCGATTCCCTTTTTCAATCGAGCGATAGGTGCCAATGTTTGGCTACCAAGGGATTTACTAGGAATATACAGGTTGTTAGCTGAAGCAATTGTTGTGGCAATGGATCGAGTGGTCTCGGCGATCTCATCCTCGGCTTTTCTTTGCCTATTTCTGGTTTTTTCTTGGTTATTTCAGGCCTCTGGTAATGCCGAAGGTGTGTTCCGATTCTGTTAGCTTCGATTTTATGTTGTTTGTGACATTTTCTTCGCTTCAATTTAAGTCAATGTTTCGCATTGAATTTTGCATAATCAAATTCAGCGATCGCTGAACTTTTAATGAATTTATTCAGTTCTGAGCTTGGAATCATTACCTGAAATTCGGAAAATAACTGAAATTGGAATTTACAGTTCATTTATTCAACTATTTATTGAATTTATTCAAAAATTCAAGTACTTAGCCTTACTAGTGCAATTTTTAAATTTTAATTTCACATAAAAATTTAAAAAAATAAAAAAAACCTTGAACTTAGATGGTGTATTTTGCTTCTTGAAGTGCTCCCCAAATAGCCTGGGAGCCTGTTCGATTAGTATGATTAATAGTGAGGGGATTAACAATTACTGAGATTAGTGTGGGATTAGTTATCCAATTGGATTAGTGAGGTATATAGGCCCCGTTTGGTGTAGCTGTTAAACCAGTTTATAAATTATAGCTTAACAAATTATAAATTATGACTTTAATCAGAAGTTGTTAATCTGTTTGGTGTAGCTGTTGGATTATAGATTTAAGTTGCTGAGTAGTGTTTGTTAAATAAGTTGTGAAATAGTTTTTTCAATTAATTTTTATTTTTTGTTTGTCTACATTTCTCATAAAAAAATAATAATAATAATCTATAGTCCATTTGAGTCTTTTTCTATTTTTAAAAAAAATAAAAAATAAAAAAATTTAAGAGTATAACCATAAATTAACATGTCCACAGCAAAAGCTGATAATCAGAAGTAAGGGCTCAGAATCAGCTTTTTTGAGTTAAAATAAGTTGTTAGAATCAGAAGCTATTTGAAATAAGTTTAACCAAATAGTCCAAAATAACTTTTTCAAAGCTAAAAGTCATAAGTTGGCTATGAAAAACTAAAACAAACACCCCCATAATTCCCTCTTGTCTATGTTTGTTTCGCAATAGATATAGAAATATATAATCTCAATTACATGTATGTTTTATGTTATTAGTTGTAGGATTAAAAAATCCGTCAATTTTATTGGATAGAATGGCCACTGAAATCTAATTTCAATAATAAAATTGGAAACCACACAATGGAATGCAAGTGCCACGAATTAATAATCTTAATCTTATGCTATAATCCGCTAATCAAACAAGGTTTTGATGTCATATTTAGTAACTTTGAATTAAGTTGTAGAATTTGAAAATCTTCATGTTTTGGTATGAGTGTTAGTCTATTAAGACAATTTAGTAGCTTACCTCCTCTTGGGATTTGTTTTGGTTGATGATGTTTGTTAGAATTATGGTGAAAGTGAAATATTGTATTGAGATTGATATAACTATTTCAACTGGTAGCCTAGTTATAGGGTTGCATAGACTGATCAATGAAGAAACCTAGAGTGCTAATCATTTAATAACTTAAGCAAGGAAATAGGTAAATATAGGAATAGAATATCTTGGAAATATTCTCTAACAATATTAATGCATTTGACAAGTACCTAATGATTGCCTCTTTCATGAAGAACAGGCGATGCCTTGATTGCGCTGAAGACCAACTTAGCTGATCCTAATAATGTTCTGCAAAATTGGAATTCAACACTTGTCAATCCCTGCACTTGGTTTAACGTAACGTGCAACAGTGAGAACAGCGTTACAAGAGTGTAAGTTGCTAACATCTGTGACAATTCTTGTGATATAACTTGCTATTTGAAACTATTGTTGCTTTCGTACTACCATTTTCAGTGGTGTGATTGATGATGAATTTTGCTTCCATTTGTGTACACCCAGTGATCTTGGAAATGCAAACTTGTCTGGTCAACTGGTTCCACAACTTGGACTGCTTCTGAATTTGCAGTACTTGTAAGTTGTACTTCAGTACTACTTTAGCTCATACTAATTTATCACTTGTTTCATAGACTTTAGTCTTATTCTTATATATACCTTTTGAGAATCTGAGGATTTACTTTAAAGATGATATCTGTGTATTAAAGTTTCAATAACCTGAACTTTGGCAACTCTTTGAAAGTCTTAATAGTTGATTGTTTAAGCTTCTTATTACTGGTTGCATAAGCTAATAAACGTAACAAGTTTGGGTCATAAACTTCTTCCCTCTCTATAGTTGTTAACTAAAATATAATTTAGTTTTATTTTTGGCCATATTATGATGTTGAGAAATAATAATGTGCATTGAGAAAAATCAACTTTGCTTTGGTGGAACTCAATTACTTTATATGTCGTAATTTTTGAATCCTCTGTTGAATCTTTCATTGTGTTGTATTCAACACACCTGAGACCTTAGTTTCATTCCCTCGATTTGGCTATCTGGATATCATCATTTTATGTATAAAGACAACCTTGAAAACATGCTCTTCCACACATACATGCACACGATAATGGAGAATACATGATATTGTTCAGCTTTTCTGGTTAAAAAGGAACAAATGACTAAAGGGGCATATTCTTGTGCTTTGAATGATTTGGGATACCTCTGATTGGGGCATTCCTAGATGAGTTCATGTTTAGTGTTTTGATTTATTGGCTGTCGTTGCAACCCCCTGCAAAAATAAATAAATAAATAAATAAATAAATCAGTCTATTGCAATGCTAGCTTTTGAAGTCATGTACAACTTCATCTACAAAAGAGCTAAATATGTTTTGACTTCCCTTTAAAGCATTTTTCTTGAATTCTTGGTTAATATTTTGTACTGATTGTGATCATGTGCATCTTTTACTTTGATGAAACAACTAACCTCTAGAAAGGAACTATAGTTTCCTAGCAGCTTATTGTGTCAAGTTATCTTTTAAAAATGGGTGGTTCGTAGTTGGTTGCTTGAGCCCTTTTCTGTTCCCCTTGTATTCATTATCTTGATATTGCTACACAATTTTTCTCCCATTAATAACATGCAGAAATGCGCGAGACCCCCAGTAAAAGCCACCCCCAGTGACCCCCAGTGCCACGTGGCACTGCGGGATTGGAAGGAAAGAAAAAAAAAGAAAAAGAAAAGAAAAAACTGGCCAATGGGGGAAGCCCACGTCACTGGGGGTCGACCCCCAGTGGGGGTGCGTAGCAAGGTTGTAATAACATGATCATCTTTTGTTTGTCCCCTTGGTTTGCGTATTATTAACATGTTTCTTGACAGGGAACTTTATAGCAACAACATAAGTGGAAGAATTCCTATTGAGCTTGGCAATTTGACAAGTTTGGTAAGCTTGGATCTTTACTTGAACAATTTGAGTGGTATCATCCCGGACACATTGGGCAGGCTTCAGAAATTACGTTTCCTGTATGAATTAATCCTTCATCTTTTTTACTTGTGTTATTAAATTTATTGTGCATTTGTTTAGGTTTACTTTTATTGTATTTCAGTTTTCTTATCACAAGGTTTTCTCGAAAGTGGGTTGCTTATGCTTTGATATATGGGAATACGGATACAGTGGCTTTGTTTTAGTTTTTTAGTGATTTCTTAGGTGCCGTTTGGTAACACTTATGTTTTCATTTTATATTTACAAAAATTTTAAAAACTCAAATAAAAACTTGTTTGGTAAATTTTTGATTTATAAATCAGTGGTCTCAGTTTATAAATTTAGCCAAAAAATGTAAACTCAAAAAATGTGTTTCCGTTTTGAGTTTTGAG